TTTTTAGAAGAAATGTGGAGTTGGGGGAGTGCGAACTCTCGGAGTTGGGTATGATAGTGGCAGAACTGAGAGAGGACGAAAGGCCGTAGTCGACTGGAGAGCGAGGCGGCAAGATGAAAGAGTTAAAGAAAAGTGGCTGTCTTGTGGAATGAACCTGTTCGGGAAAGCAGAGTATAAATCAAGATGGAAGAAAGAAGACGACGATGAAGAGACGATTAAGAGCAAATTTTGAAGCAATAGAGAGAGAGAGAGAGAGAGATGGATAGATATATACGTAGAGAGAGAGAGAGTCAGACCTCTATAACTAATAAAGGGAGGAGATGATAACCAGGACTGTTCTTTCCCATAATCAGAAAAAAACGTCTGTATCAGTTTCTTGTGTTATTGGATGTTTTTGGGATATGGGGAAAAGAGTTTTTTGCTGGCCTCGTGCCAAGTACCATGTGTGTGGCCCCTGGAGGAAAAATGCTTGGGAGGTTGGTTGGAAATGGCAGGTGTTAGGAAGAAGAGTTGTATCTCCTTTTATGTTAGCCGACGAGTATAAAGAGAAAAAAGTGTTAAAATATATGTATGTAATAAATTAAAAGTTTTTTGGATTTTCTTCAATTCATCTGAAGAGAGTGAGTGAGATGAAGGATGTGCTGCAGATGGAGGAGTTGACGGCATATTCACTTGACTATGCGCTCGCTTCATACACGGTACGCTTCATACACGAGACAAAAACATATAGTTAAGGATATATATGGTTAATTACCTCTGCACAGGTAATGGCATAGTTAAACTTAACATTATACGTATAATTTGGAGTATAATTAGCATAATCATTAAGTATAGTTAATTAGATATTTTAATGATTTTTTTTGGGGTTGGGTTTCGACTGACGTTATGAGTGCAACAGACTTCTTCTGTGATTCACTATCCCGACGTTGCTCTTATTCATAATTATGAGGTCGTAAAATACTCATAAACATTCAGACGGAAACACTGCCGACGAACGTCAACGCATGCTCCAGATGACGCAGATGGCATAACGTCGAGATGCTTACATGGTCAGAAGATTGAACGGCAGATGAGAAAAGAGGGGTTGTTAAAGCCCTGTTGAAGGCCAGATAAAGAGCGGATATGTACATAGACAGGCAGCTGGATAATTTGTGAGGGATTTTAAAAACGGAAGAAGGGATGACACAACCAAATCAACAAAAAATAAGTTCTTAAACTATATGATATAGTTAAGACAATAGGAAAAGTAGAAAGCAACGAGTGAGATATGCAAAAGCTGCATAAGCTTGTGCATCTTCTTTTCGTTTTCTTTATTGACTTCCTAACGTCAGTTCGGAGGTCCCATCAGACAGCAAGCTTAACCACCGTATATTATAAGATGAAAGACAACCGACGGCAAGAAATTATAAGACTGCTGACAGCCGACGAGACAAGCAGATATGCCAGAATTTAAATGGTTAAATGAAAATGAAATCACCTTCATACTTGATTATATGATATAGTTAAGTAAACAAAAACTTCTGAACATGTTCTTTAGCGAGTCATTTGTTTATCGATTTGATAGTTCTTCTTATCTTTGCTCTTTTCAATTTGAAATCAAGCGACTCCTCTCACTATTGACGGAGTTTGCAAGTTGTTCAACTTCATTTTCAAATAGAAGTTTGGTTGATGGTGGTTGTGTTGGTGGTAGTGGTGTTGGTGGTGGTGCCTTTTGACTATGTGTCCTCTGTATTGTATCTCTGCTTCTCTTACTCTCATATGAACACTCTGATTTTAAAATAATATTTCATTTGGTAAGTCAAAGCTAGAAGAGATGACGACACTTCGATAAGAGCTAATGACCCAACTAAATGTTAAATATTGCTTGAATAAAAACAATCCGCATCTAGAGAGAGAGAGAGAGATACAGAGAGAGAGAGAGGGAGAAGGCTAATGAACTGAAAGGTGTACAGTGAGAGAAAGATGAGGAAGGAGGTGTGAGATTTAGAAATCGGAACGGTAACGTGCACGGGCACCAATCGTTCATTTACATAAAGCAGATTGGAAATAGACTCAGAAAAAAAAAGATTTTGCAAAGGTGAATCAGACCTACATGACTGAATGATCAAGCATTTAGCATTCAGAAGAAACTGGTTCATCGATTCTTTTAACTTTTTTTTTTGTTTCCTTTTTAATGAATTTGGATTTGAAGAAAAAACTGTGGGAACATAGCCATTTACTATCATCGCCCCCCCCCCCCATCGACTCTTTATCATTCAATCAACTTCTTCATCGTTCGTTTTTTTGAGATTCTGCGATTTGCATATCTGACGTCCGACGATAACGACAATGACTTCTGATGTGTATATACGGTATGGACGTGCCGAACAGTTGCATTCGACAAATGAAATAATCAAAATCAGGTAGCGGTTCTTGTTTTTTTCTTCGGCACATTACGGACACTACCTTCTCTTTCTCACATCATCATTCTTGTCTTCATCCTCTTCGTCGTCTTCTTCACGTCGTCTTACAGTCAACTTCCGTTTTTCAAGTATTTGGTTGACTCCTCATCGTTTGTACGCCTCGTTGCTTGGCATAGTCTCAAGACATTTGCCATTTGAGGATTTTCACAACCACCAACAACTCTAGCTATCAGCCCCTTCCATTCGCTTCGTCCATAAACGTTTCAGTTGTTTTCTATTTTTCAATTTCTTTAATTAATTTATTTTCTTATCTATGCCTCATGTCACAGCACAACCGCTCATTTTATTTTTTCACGTAAAATGCACGTGAACTGGCGATGACCTAGACGTAGACTTACTATTTTGATTCGATTTTTTTGGGTATTGGAATGTTAGATGGGTATTCCGAGAGACAACTTCTCGATAATTCGCTCCTCTCCGTCTGTAGCATGTTCCTTATCCTTTGATTCTCTGGTTCTAACACATCTTGATGTTCATCTTCTCATGTTCCAATACACTCTCTCTCTCACAAGTTTATTTTTCTTTTATTTCTTTCATTTTGTTTCATAGTTTGATCATTCCTCATTGATTGCATTGTCTCTTAGTGTAAAACAATTTTTTGTCTTTTTCTCTCTGCCCTCCAGCATTCTAATGATGTCTGCATAAGTTATAAGGTCAGCTGTGTTCATCCATCCTTTAGTATCCTTAGTTAATCATACTTCTTAACTACGTCTTCTTCCTTTACTTTTCCCTTCTGAATCACTAATTATGCTTCTGTTTATATGATCCTCTCTCCCTATGACCACTTTTGACCTTTTGATGTTTATCTATTCACACATACACACAGTTTATTCCCTTTTTTTCCTCTTTCAACTCTTGCCTCATCTCTATTGCGCTAACTATGCTAACCATATGATTATTACATTTTTTTCTTCTTCACCGCCTAGACGTTTTATATTTTAATTGAAATTCATCCCATTCATTGCAACTTGGGGTCAATCTGGCCACGTGTCCTCTAGCCTTGATGCGACACTCTCTTATCCTCATTCAAGCAACGTTTTCGTAACTGACCCTATAGCACTGATTATGCTTAAGCTTCTTGTTGTTTAGTAATCAATTCTCTTTGGCTATGTCGTCTGTTCTGCTGACGCTGCTTTGTGTTTCTGTTTTCTGCTCTATCTGGGTCGGATGCAGTTGGTTTTCCATATTCTCACGTCGTCCACCATCTCGATTAGACGTCGTCTGTTGATCTGTGACTGGATGAGAGAAAACGTTTTCTTAAGGCCTCGTCAGCAAAACCATCTTAAGACATTATAAAAGACTGTCTAGATGGACTAGCAAATGGCATTTCGTGAAAGCCGTTAGTTCCATTCAGTTGCTTTTCATTCTCTCTTTCATCCTCCTTACCTCTATCTCTCTCTATCTCTCTCTATGGTCAACTACTTGAGGCATTCATGCTCATATGCCTTATACAGTTATTATAAAAGCCGGTTAGAATGTTCCTTTCATATTTCATTGGAAGGGGGGAGATCTTCGATTACTTATGTTGTCTTTAACGAGAGCTGAGAAAATCTCATTGAAAACTGGTTGTGTGTTTATTCCATTTAGAGATAGTTTAAGGGGTCTTCCCATTCAATTTTAGGGATCCGATGACGTCACAACCCTAAATCTTTATTGATTTCTATCTTGTTGGATTTGAGATGTCTATCTGACCTTTTGAACGAACGATACGAGTAAAGAGGTATAACTGGTAGCTTTCGTTCTCTCCTCTTCTTCTTCTGTAACGTCTTCCATCATCTTCCTTCTCCTAACGTCTTCCTTCTTCTACCCTCCCATCATCATCTTCTTCTAGTGAATGAAGTTCTCCATCAACTTGAAACTAATTAATATTTCTTTCATGAAGACATAAACTGTGACTCGAATGAAAACGATTTCTGCTGTTGTTACAGATGTATTTGGATTCCAGTTCTCTCACGTTCATCAGGAAATATTTTCTTTTCAATATTTCTTCTTTAAAGTTCTTCTTGCAAAACCATCTTGGATTTTCTTTTCTGTTCTCGTACTCGCCGTGTTGGTCCACGATGCAGCAGGTCGTCGTCGTCGTCGTCATCATCGTCGTCTACGTTGTCGTCGTTATACTGTGTAGACGACGAATTCCTTCAGATATTGATTCATCCCGCTCTCGCTTTTTTGGATCTTTCAATCCATCTGACCAGAAGCTTCATCACTAGTGGCTGGATTTCATTCATCTCATAGTATCGTTTCTGTTTTCTAAGACCAGAAAATGCACGTAAACAGTTTTCTGTTCCTGTTCTTCCTTTTGTCGCCTGTTGCCTTCAGTTCACCTTCACCTAGCTAGTCGGTCACCTCATCCTCTCTTCTAAACAACTTTGAATGAACTTGAATGATATTCGATTGGGTTACCATTCCATATAGTTAAGAACATTTCCATCTTTACAGTTTTTATTTCGTTTCATTGAGGTTTTTAACGTTGCATCTTCTTGCTTCATAAGTTTTTCTGTCCGCTACTAACTATGTGATGTATTACAGAGAATACAAATGAGGGCAGCAGTAGTCCTTCTACTTGCTCCATTTGTCAGCTATGTAGTTGGCGATCTCTTCACATCTGTTGCTGATATGCAAAATCTATTGGATTCAGAGAAAGCCATTCCTGCTGTACTTCAGAAGTATATTGAGGAAGAAGAGAGTCGTCTTAACGGTCTCAAGAAGTAAGTCTTCATGAAGAAGTTCATCATCGTTATCAATCCATGTTCTAAGGTTAGCTGAGAGATATCAACAGCGAAACGAAGATTCAATTGCTACTGGAAACAAAGATATTACTAATCCAATTAATGCTTTCCTAATGATCAAGAGAAAGGTTCGAAGACCAAAAGTTTCTCTTCACGCATCTCATCTCTTTAGATCTTCGATTGGAAGGAAATCGAACAACAGATGAACACTAACAAAGCTCAATCGTTCATTGACAGAATGACAAATGCCAACTATGGTGTTCGTTACCCCACTCAGGTGAGATTCTTCTTTCAATTACTGCCGAATGGTGTAGGCAAGTCCTGTATCATTTTTGGACAAGTCATCTCGTAGCACGGATGGCCGAGTGGTCTAAGGCGCCAGACTCAAGACCTAGTCTTACGGCGAGTTCAATGCCGGTTGAGTGTTCTGGTCCTCGTATGAGGGCGTGGGTTCAAATCCCACTCCGTGCATTAACCTTTTAATTTTTGCATTTTTTTTATTATGATTTATATGTTTAATATATGCAGGAAGATCTCACAGGAGCCGCCACAGGAATCCTTCGTCTTCAAGACACTTATCGTTTAGATCCCCGTGATCTCTCCGAAGGAAGAATCCAACAAGTTCAAGGAAATTATACATTCGATTGTAAGAACATCAAGTTGAGAATCCCTCTGAATGTTTTTGCGTTTCAGCCAACGATTGCTTCGAGATCGGACGTTCAGCTTACAATGATGAAGATTACTATCACACTATCTTATGGATGGAAGAGGCTAGAAGACAATTAGACAGAGAAGAAGAAACCCTAGAAGCCGGATATGCAAATAAGGAAGATGTAATGGTTTTATGGGAAGATATTGTTTACCCATAGTTGACTTTAGGTTTTGGAATACTTGGCTTACTCTCTCTATAAGCAAGGGAATCTTAAGCATGCATTGAAATATACAGATGAATTATATGCAATGAGTAAGTTCTTAGAATGAAAACCATTTGAATTCGCTATTTGAAGATCCTGAACACCCACGTGCGAAGGGAAATGTCAAATGGTACGAAGATCTTCTGCAAGAAGAAGGAGTCAAGAAGAAGGATATGAGAAGGTGAAGCATGATCCCTCCCTAAATCAATGTTCATATCCTGCGTTCCAGATCAATTGGAAATGTTCGTAATTCTCGTCCAGCCAGTGTACTCGGCAACAAAGAACGAACCATGTACGAAGCTTTATGTCGTGGAGAAATCCCAGTGGTAAGATATTGTCAATCTATCTACTCCCATTACTAGTCTCATTATAGAGTGATAAAGATGTAAGCAAGCTCTATTGCTATTACAAACGCGATCGTCCATTCTTGGTTTATGCTCCAATTAAGGTATTGAAAAATAATTTATGCTAAGTTATGTGAATGATTTTAGATTGAAATTATGAGATTTAATCCTTTAGCTGTTCTTTTCAAAGACGTCATCACTGATGAGGAGATCGATCTCATTCAAGAGCTATCAGCTCCAAGAGTACTTTACTTTCTAATTTTTCTTTTCACATCACTCTCATTACAGCTGGCAAGAGCTACCGTTCATGATGCTGCAACCGGAAAACTTGTAACAGCTAACTATCGTATCAGTAAAAGGTTTAGCCAAACATAAAAAGAGTTTTATTTCCAAGTTTTTTCAGTGCTTGGCTCAAGGATTGGGAACATGAAGTTGTTCATCGCATCAACCAACGTATTGATTACATGACTAACTTGGATCAAGAGACAGCTGAAGAACTTCAAGTTTGATTTGTAGACACGGGCCAAATAGTCATCGTGATACCTTCAGGTTCAAAACTATGGAATCGGTGGTCACTACGATCCTCACTTCGATCATGCTCGTAAGGAGGAAAGCAAATCCTTCGAATCTCTCGGAACCGGAAACAGAATTGCTACCGTACTTCTTTACGTGAGTCTATTCCATATATAGCATTTGAGAATGTAAGCTCGTTTCAGATGTCTCAAACACAGTTGGGAGGTAGTACTGTCTTCACAGATGCCAAATCAACTATTAACGTATCCAAGAATGATGCTTTATTCTGGTATAATTTATATCGTCAAGGAGACGGAAATCCAATGACTCGCCATGCTGGTTGTCCTGTTCTTGTAGGCATCAAATGGGTATGTTTGATCATAAAAGTATTTATTTGAATGCATTCTGTTTAATAGGTTGCCAACAAATGGATTCATGAACGTCAGAACGAATTCCGTCGTCCATGTGGCTTGAAGCCATCGGATAATGAACGATTTGTGGGCGACTTAGGTGTATATGGAGAACCACGTACAACCCCCAATCTCAGTCCTGTTCTTTCAAAAGATATCTGGGATACTATTTAACTCTATGATACTGCTATCTATAGCATATAGTATAGAACGTCTTTAAGCCTTATCCAAGCACAGATATGCACTCACGTGCGAGTTATACTCATCAATCACATCATCATCATCATCATCATCACTCATAGTACAGGATAAGAGATATATGTTCGGGTGGTACTAGACAAGTATTGGCAACGTGCCGAAAGTAATATTTTTAAAAATAAAACTTCTAATATGCAAATTTCATGATTTTAATTTCTTTTTTGTCTCTTTTCTTATGTCATCTTTGATCGTTATAGATGTCATTCCATCATCATCCTTCTCCATTCATAAATTATTAGAATTCTATCATCATTTTTACTTTTCCGTTGACGTCTTCTTTCAACATTTTTTTTATTTCTCTCACTCTCTCTCTTCATCGTTCAACCAAAAAAAATTGTCCAAATAAAGAGTTTCATTTGACTATTAATGATCTGAAACACAACAACTCCTCCTTCGTGGAAAACCCTTATAAGAGCTGTGATAAATCGTTTGGCAAATATCTGCCACCCGCACGAGATACGGCGTTGTTTGCAAAAACATTTGCTTACCGATCCTCACAAACTATGGCAGTGATGAAAAACATTTTCCAACGCTTGATATGAAAATTGTGATTACTTGAACTTATAAAGTCCTGAGCCTAATTTTGAATTATTCATCTAATGTGGCATTTGGTGGATGCCCTTATTTAGAAGTTATTTGAGTAGGAAAGTATCACAAACAGTGATAAATCTCTTTTTCAATCAGCTATCATATATTCTTGAAACATACAACGCGCTCCACTTGATCACTTCGAACAACCAATCAACAATGTGCTGCCACGCATACGCAGTACGGCGCATCTCGTATAAGCCCGTTTGACAGTCGGATGACTAATCATTGGCAGTGATGAAAAATTTTTCCAACGCTTGGAATGAGAACCGTGATTATTTTTTAAGGTTCTGAGCCTAACTCTCATTTTTGAATGATTTATGATGTTTTGTTGTGTGTTGTATGGTTTCGGCAGTTCAAACTGCTTGTTAAAGGTCTGTAATTGGGAGCAAAAAACTTTTGTCGCACAATAATTTACCCAACGAGAGAGATGGCTGTTGTTTGGAGCATCCGGACGACGAAATGCTCAAAGTTATTTTGCTTTTGTTTGCGTTTTCTCATTTTTTGCGGAATTACGTAAAAGGGGGTAGGAGGGGAGGGAGATGAAGAGAGGGCTATAGGGGGTAGAGAGAGAAAGAGTTAAGAAGTCTTTTAAAAACCCGAAAGATCTTACAGTCTCATGCAAAAAAGCAATTTGAAGAATATTTTGCTTTACACGAGATAAGGTTAAGAGTACTCTTCCTCCTTGCGTCCCTTTTTGTTTTTGTCTCTTTCTCTATCTCATCTCATTGCTCTCTCTATATCGCTCCCTCTATAGGCTTACTCTCTATGTTTTGCAGAAAGAAATTGTTGATTTAATGTATTTTTGGACGAAAAAAATGAAAATTCAAGATATTTTGACGAAAAAATTCCATTTGTGAACATTTTTGGTCGAAAAAGGACATCGATGAATTCTAATGAGGGCTTGGATCCTGAGGTCTCTCTCTCTCTATCTCTCTCTCTCTCTCTCTCTCTCTGGAAGATTTATAAATGTCATTTATCAACTTATTACATGTTATTTACATATTATTTTACTAATATCCTCTTGTCACCTAATACATTTATCTTTTTTGATAAATATGTTTATTGATTGATTCTGCTCGACATGTATCTCCCGCACTCTCTACTCTCGACAATCTTATTGATTGTGAATGAATTCTGAAGGCTCCATCTCTCTCTCTCTCTATATATATATCCCTCTTTACCTCTCTCTCTCTCTCTTTGTATCGCTTTCTCTTGACGTCATTGCTGAAGAGATTCACCGTCAGTAGACGTCTAGAACCCTTTTCTTCTGCCTTTTTTTTCCATCTGCTCATTGAACTTCTCTATTCTTAGTTTATAGGTATTTAATTCCAATTTGCAACAATCGTCTTCAGAGTTCACAAGGCTTATTGTTTCGCGCAATTTCATTTTCTCACGTTTTTTTTTGACAAAGTTCCATTGCGTGCTGTGACATGGTCCGTGAGTTTCATTAGTTGGATTGAGAGAGAGAGAGAGAAAAAGAAGGGGAAAAGGGGAGTGGTGGAAGAATATCTCAAGTCCGTCTTCATTCCATGTATGCATATGAATCTTCCATGTGTAAATACCATAAGCGTATGTCACAATTTTCTCCCCATAAGGAAATAATTTGTAATTTGCCTTCACAGCCTCATATTCTCTGTCGTCGTATCGTAATCAACGTTTAGCGGATATCTCAATTCATTATACGTCTTACTCTCTTTATCCACCTACGTTTTCCTCTCCTTTTTTTTCTTGTCCATGTCCTGCCAGCATCTACCTACTTCTACTTCCTTTTCCAACCTACTTCCATCTCCTCCTCTTTTTTTTCTCTTCTTGTAGTTCATTCTTGCTAGGCAGACAAATTAGATGAAATAAAAACTCGAGAAATCCACCTCGATAGCTTGGCTGCGTAGCGAAGCCACTTCTGTTTTGCCCGTCTCAGATTACGTCGGTGTATGCAGTTATTATCGCTTGAGGCGTTATTTCCATAGGTGGTATTATCTGCTTAAAATACGAAGCACATTAGACTCGCATGGCCTGACAGAGTTCTTTGTCTGAGATTTCTTTTATTTCCTTCATGTTTTATATTTTTAATTTTCTCTCCAATCTCGAGCTTTCCGGAGCAACGAGTTGTTCTTCCTTTTCGTTGTATTTCCTGTGAAAAAAATTCCTTTCGAGGAATCTCTTCTCACCCTCACACAGACAGAGAGAGAGAGGTTGTATATGTGTATGTGTCATTTGTCTCTTCCATCATAACCACAATCTACTTCTCATTCGAAGATAATTGAGACGAAGAGTTCAACAGAGAAAAAACGACTGTTGAAAGAGCAAGAGGAAAGGTGATGGATGGGATAATGGATATGCTCTCTATCAAAATGAAAAATAGTCAAAACAGAGGAGAGAGAGAGAACATTTTTTTTTACTTCTCAAATGAACACCTATTGTCAGGTTGTCATCCATGTTTTGTCAGATCTTATCAATCTATTACCTCTCTCTCTCCCTCTCTCTTTCTCTGCTTCTTTCCCTATGAACTCCATTCTGCATCTGTGTACGTGTGTGCATGTGTGTGTGTGTGTGTGTGTGTGCATGTGTGTGTGAGAAATAAACAGCAGAAGAAGAAAAAAGAGCTCAGATGGTGAACTAGGAAGACGGAACTAAAGGTCTGAACTTAGAAAAGAGATAGAAATAAAGAGACCCAGAGATAGAGAGAAAGAGGGAAGACCAGTAGAGAGAGAATGCGTATAGAAGAGAATGATAGTAGGAGGGAGATAGAAGAAGGAAGGTGGGGAGGGAGGGGGGGGGGGATATGTAGTAGTAATAGTAGTAGCAGTGGTTTCCCCTTAAAAAGAAAAAATATAAACCGTACATTCACTTCCTGTCTTGTTCTCGTCTCTCATGTGTCTATGCGCTCTCTTTACTCTTTTTTTTCTTTTTGTTTCCATTTATCTTCTCATATTTCCCTTGTAATATATTCCAAGGTTCATTTATATGTCTAAGCTGAATATATAGTTAATAGATTCATCTATTAAAGATGATGAATACAGAACATGTACCTATTATGGTAAGAGAGATGTAAGTATTGACGAGAATACGACAGCCGACTTCATTTGTTTCTCATGTTAACTTCCTTTCTATTACAATTTATTCTCTCATTATTCATCTTTACGCCATTATTTTTATTTTACACCATCACACATAAATGCGTACGTGAATTTGCGTAATAATCACATCACATCTACGTAACGTACCATTATAATTCATACCCGTACCTATTTGCATTTACACCTCGTTTACTAGTGGCTCACGTACTTACGTACGCATTCATGCTATCACGTGAGATTATTTTCATTTTTGTTTTTGCATACATACTGATCGGTTCAATCTTTTTCTTTTTGTCAATCCTTCCATCTCTCTCTCTCTTTCTCTCTCTCTTTCTCTCTCTATCTACATATCATCCTTTCTCTCTCTCTCATCTCTTTGATGGTCGTTGTTATCCTAACTTTATGCGTCAGCTCTATCAAAGACTTTATCTCCAAGGGATTTGAACAGCAAATGAAAACGTTTTTTTCTTCTTTTCTTTGGACGAACATTAACAAGGACTTTTAATTTTTTTCTTTCTTGTTTTGTCTCATCGTTTTCACTCTTTTATGGTCATAAGATTGAAGCCTAGATGAGCGATGCTTGGCAAATTATGAATATTCCATCTCCTTTTGATGAGTTCTGCATGCTCGCTTCTCAGGGGTTGGCTCCTCTTTCTCATCAACTGAACTCATCAATTCACTTGTCCTTCCTCCTACTCCCCTCCTACTATCTTTGTCTTTTATCATCGTTCCTTTCCTCCCTCTCTCTCTCTATATCTCTTTCTACCTCTCTTTGTCAACTCTCTCTCTCTCTCTCTCTATTTCATTTTTTTCCTCTCTCCCTCACCACCTATCTCCCTCGCTCTTCCAATGTCATCTTAATTTATTTTGATTTTTTTCTTCTTCTTTTCTTTGAAAGTCTTTTCTCTCCCTTCATGACTTCTTGTCTTTCCTTCTCCTCTAAATTGCTTATGATTTTGTTATTTTCAAAGAAGAAAAAAGAACTGAGCAAATACACAAAGTTTCCCCTGTTACTCGTTCCATTTGGTGACTTCGAATCCATCTGGGAGTTATAGGTTTCGCCTGTTTTCTTGTTTTTCCTCAAGGGAAGTAGACGGAAGTTCTGACCAAAATGAGAACTTGTCCAGTCTTCGTTCACTTTTCCTTTTTTCTTTTTTTTTTCTTTTTTTTTTTTTTTAAATCTCTTCTTCGGGTTTTCCTCTCGTTGGATGAGTGTACACGTAGTTTCGTTGGTCCCTTGTTTGGTTCTCCCTCTCTGTGAACTCTCCCATAGCATGTCTCTCTCTTTCTCTCTTTCTCTCTCTCTATGCCTATCTCATCCAGAATGAGTTGAATGGAAGGTGAAGATTACAAACAACGTTCTCTTTATAAAAAGAGTTCGTAAAGAGAAAGTTGTCAAATAATTTTGAAAAACGACTTTTGGGATGTCTCTCTGCCATTATCATTTTGATAAAAGATCAAACATCATAGTTTTCTCAAAGTTTTTTTTGTGTTCAATTCAAACTCCATAAAAGGGATTTATGAGGGTGATTTCACCTCTAATCTCAATTTGAGACTTTGCAACACACACACACATACACTCTCTCTAGCTCATTCTTTGTCTCTCTCTATCTCTTTCTTTCTCTCTCTTAAGAAATGAGCGGAAGAGATGTTGATGAGCTTGTCTCAGGTATAAGAATGAGCAAAAAAGCTCTAAAAGTAGCGAGAATCATGAAAATTTCGTCAAAAATACGATGATGATTTCTAATGAGATTATGAATATTATTAATTCTTTATTCAATCTCTCTTATTCCCCTCGTCTATCTCCCTCTCTCTCTCTCTCCCTCTCTATATCTTCACAGAGGGTTGGGATAGAACGAAAAAATGACGGGATAGTGTTGAGAGGGAGGAACAAGCTTGAAAGAATACCGAGAATAGGGAGGATGAACAAGAAAGTGATGAAGAGATTGTTAGAGAAAGAAAGAGAGAGGGAGGGTGAGATATCCCATGTGTTCTTTGAAGCTTCAGCTCTCTCACTCCCTCATATTTCCCCTCTTTTTTTTTTCTTTTTTCTATTGCTTCAAAAAAATTATTTATGTAAGAAAATGGGTGGAGATTAGATTGGTAACGAGGATATGTCCGTTTAGATATTCATTTCTTTACTCATCTCCTTGTCTTCTGACAGCTTTTCTCTCCTTTACTATGAATTTCCTTTTAACTTTTTCTTTCCCACGTGATGACTTCATTCAAGAAGCTTAAAGGGTCATTCCTCTCTCTCTTTCTCTTTCTCTCTCTTTATGTTGTGTCGGTCATACCGCTGTTAATGATGAAACTTCCGCATATGTGTGTATGTGTGTGTGTGTGTGTGTGTGTGTATATGTCTTGTTCTGGGTTACAACATCTTCGTCTTACACAACTCATCATCATCATCATGATGTCTTCATGTGGCAATCTGTTTCATCGTCTCAATTCCCTCCATGCCCCACTACAGTTGCCCTTTAAAATCATTTTTTTTGTACTTTTAAAGTCTTACATTGGAGCAAAAAGTTGAAAAGTCAAGGTGTTTGCGGCTTTTTTTCAATTTCAATTTCAATTGACCTTCTTCTATTTCAATTACTAATTCCCCGGCCAAATTAACGTTTAAGCCCCTTAAGTAGAAATAAATGACTTGAAATAAAAAAATTCTTTTCTTCTCCTTAACCTCTGTATTGCTTGCGAGAGTTCTGTACTCTGTACATCTCTTTGTACGTGCATATATACAACAAGCGATACACAGAGAGAGAGAGAGAGAGAGAGATGCGAAAGGAGTAGAAAGGTTAGGAGAGAGAGAGAGATGAGTTGATAGAGAGACAGGTACAGTTGAAAGTTTATTTCATTTCCACGTAAAACCCTCACGTACTCTTTGGTGTAGTAGTTTCATTTAGAATGAATGGTAGATAGCGTACGGCAATACAAGAGAGAGAGAGAGAGAGAGAGAGAGAGAGAGAGAGAGGGAGATAGATAGAGAGAGAGAGGCGACTGGCGCAGTAACAGAGATGTCAGGAGGGATGAGAGAGAAAGAGAAATTCTTTTGTTTTTGGTTCGTTGGTCGAAAATTTTAGAATTTTAAATCGAAGATATCATAATTCATGGACTCGACCCCGATCTCTCTTTGCTTTTTTTGTCATTTTTGATGTTCGTTTGAGGAGTTTTGATGAATGAATGAATTCAGATTCTTATTTGATTTGTTAAAGAAGCAAAACATTGGAACAGGTGAAGTTCGTTCGTCTTTCATGTCTTTCTCTCTCTATCTCTCCCTCTCTCTCTGTACCGATTAGATGGAATTCGATGTTTTCTTCATTTCCTTCATTCCTTCCTTCATCAAAACCCAGACGGAATACTCTTCTGACCGTTTTCATCATCAGACATCTCTCCCCTTCCCCCCCCCCCCCCCCCCCCCCCCCACTTCCTTACTAACCATTCCTCCGTCAAGTTCTTTATGATTTCTTTTCATTTTTGTTTCCAATACATGTTATCAGATAACTATCTTATAAGAAGTTGAAGTACCTCTTTGATGAAAATTATGAGGTCTCTCTCTCTCTATGGTGCTCATGCTCTCTTCGTTCATCAATCCATCTTTTTCCTCTTGCTCTCACTTTTCTCATCTAGTTCGCGAATCTACCTGTCTTCCGTTTCTCCATTCTCTCTTTTTGAACTCTTTCTCTCTCTCTATATCTCTCTCTCTATCTCTGTTGTTCCCTCCCTCTATGTGTGCCTTCTTGCTCAATGTTCTTTTGCTGTTATTTCTGCCTGTTTTGGCATTGTGTCCAATAATATGGGCTGTATAGAATAGGGAAGGAAATAGATTGAAGACTCAGCTTGTTGCTTTCAAACCTTCTCTCGTTTTCTCTAATTTCTTTTTTTTTTTTTTTTTTTTTTTTTTTTGATTTGTTTCAGTTGCTCCGTTTTTGGTCAAAAGTTGTCTAATCCAAAGACAATCTCCTTCCTCACTGGCCTACTTTGTTTTCTTTCAGTTTTAAGTTTTTTGTTCTTCGCCTTCTCACTCTCAACAATTTCCTTCAACGGTTTTTGGCCATTTGTACTCAAAGCTCTTCTTTTTGTGCTTTTGCTCTTCAGAAGACGATTGATTTGATGAAGAATCTTACAGACGACGACATCTAATTCACATCTCAATCAGTCATGGCTTAGTAGAGAGAGAGGCTTCATGACAACAGCTTTAATTCGTTCCTCATAACACTCATGTCTACTGTAGTTACTTCTTCTTCTTCTTCTTCTTCTTCTTATTCTTCATCGTCTTCTTCTTTATCGCCGTCTACTCTTCCTTTTTTGTTGTCGCCAAGGAACTTTAGAAACATCACGTGCAACTTATTCTGATTTCCAAATTCGGTACGATTCACCAAATACTGTCTGCACTCTCTGACATCTATGCGCTGTCTTATTATATCATCCTGAATTCATTTTTTTCTTCTTCTTCTTCTTCTTCTTCTACTCGTCGTGTGAGAAACCCATCGTGAGTATGAGATGATACCTGTTTATGAAGAAAACAGAGGGGAAGAGAGAGGGGGAAGTGTTGAAGTTTCTTATTATATGAACGTCTCCTTGTCATACTGAATATCTGACATCTACATCTGTACCATCATACAAGCTAACACCTGAATATGGTAGACAGTTCGTAGTGAACAGTAAGAGAGAGAAAGAGAGAGTAAGAGAGAGAGAATGAGAAAGTGATAGAAGGAAGGAAAGTGAGATGCCGGATGTTGAGAACTGTAGCGATTGCTAGCTTCACCTGTTGTTCGATGTTTGACGTCTTCTATATGTAACAACAGATGATATTTTCGTCTGAAACATAAAGATTTGATTATATAATATCTTTCTTCGTTTATGTCGTTAATTAGATTTCTGTACATACATATTATACATTTCAGAAAGTTTGTTGACAAATATTTTATTGTTTCTCGACGTGGGCCTAATACGTTGGCAGTACGTTGAGAAGTCATGTTTGATTTCTTAAATGAAACAGATGAATTCGTTTCGTCACAGTTTATGTTCAATTCGGTTAGTTCATTCATCATCATCAACATGATGATGATGACGATGATGCTGATGACCATCATCTTCTTCATCTTCTACCCATATACGAATAGCTCAGCTACCTTTGTCCTGCTTCTCATTCTCTCACTCTCTAACTCTCTCCTTCATTCCTTCAATGGAGAACGAGACTGAGCAGAGCAGAATGATGACGACCTGCGTGTATAAGTGTTGGCGAGTAAAGATGAAACAAAACAAATAATTTGAACAAATTGATGATTTTCATCAATTACTTCCATTTGTCAACAGCTATTTGTATGTTCCATACTGAAGAACGTAGTATGGTGTGTGTGTGTGTGAGTGTGAGCTTGAGTGTGAAATCAACAGACATAAAGGTCCTGACACGCATAAATTTGATTAATTTGCAGACAGGATTGACGGTGAACAACGTGTTGCCACCGCCCAACCATGAAGATTTGCATGTTATGATAATGGCCATTTCATATCTACTTTTATTCCTTCTAGGTGGGTGTTATGCTAATTGTGTACTTTGTGTTAAATAATTGAAAAGCTATATTAAAGTATATAAGAAGCTCTCTCTCTCTCTCTCTAGAGCTAGAGAGAGAGAGAGAGCTTAAGAGAGAGAGAGAGGGAGATATACTCTCTTATAATGTATAATTCAGGTACGTGTGGAAATGTGGCTGTATTAACAACTATTTATCATGTTGTTCGCTCATCAAATACAACTATTGATAACACGTTACTATATGTAATAGTTCTTTCATGTGTTGATTTTGGTGTTTGTCTTTCGCTACCGTTTACGGTCATAGATCAGGTATTTGAATGTTTCTTTTTCACCTTCTTAGATCTTCTCCGCATCATCCTCTCCTGACATCCATACATGCTCACTTCTTCATACACACACACGCATATACACGCATGAGCATAGATATAGATAGATATAGATATATATAAATATATTATAAATAACTTTATCGTATAGTCAATGGCTTTTGATGTGTTTTGGCACCCTTCTTCCTCTATGGTCCGTAAAACTATTTGAATTTAAGAGAGAATGAGAGGGAGGGAGGAAAGAAGTAGAATGAGTGAATGGTGGGTAGCTGGGGTGAGCGGAGGGGGGGATGTGTATGTGTGGATGTGCGAAGCTGTGAAAGAGAGAGAAATGAAGAACCTTCCTCTCTGACAAGAGATTCATCTAAATTATAAAAATTTATTAAATATGCATCAGAAGCTGTTTTTTGACTCATTTTCAGCCAATGTTGGAATATATTAGCAAAATTTATTATTTTATATAATAAAACTCCGATAGCATTGAGCTATCCTCTTTCTCCTAACTCTCTCTCTCTCTCTTTCTCCCATTCTCTCTCTCTCTCTCTCTTTTTCATTTTTTGCTGCTCCATGCACAACCAACCGCTAGCTGCTGCTGCACAATTCAAAAATGACCCATCTTTCCCGTTTTGTTCTTGTGTTCACGTATTTTTCACGTGAATAAGCAATTAACATAATTGACCAATGGTCTAAGAACGGATCTTCAATTGTTTTTTTTCTTTTTTAGATTTTGGGCTTCTGGATGTTTGGTGTGATCCCGTGCAAGCTGCATGCAGTATTTGAGAACTTTGGCAAAATTTTGTCAGCTTTAATCATGACGGCTATGGCATTTGATCGCTATGCCGGGGTTTGCCATCCTCAAAAGAAATATCTGCGTTCAAGACGAGTAGCAATCGGAATTCTGTTAGGTAATGAGAGAAGAGATGTATATCCGAGATTCTAATGAATATGATAATCTGTGTAGGTCTTGCTGCTTATGCACTCATCACACTCTTTCCTCTTCTATGGTCATTCACTTCACGTGAATTGGTTATGTTTCAACGAATGACAGGTAATAGACTATATATGTGGAATTATCATATAAATCATATAATTAAGGACCAAATACATTAACTCGTATGGTAGTAGAGAAGTGTACTGTAGATATCGATTCTATCATGTTCACCTTATTCACAATCTATCAATTTGTATTATGTTATTGCCTTCCATTGCTACTTATCGCCTTTTTTTATACAACGTTATTGACGAAATTACGGCAGCATGCTCGTGGATTTAAGGTAATCATCAGTCATCTCTCTCTCTCTTCCATTTTATATTTCAACACTGACGCATAGAGGGAGAGAGAGAGCTAGAGAGAGAGAGAGAGAAGAAGAAGAAGAAGTTGAGCTTGAAAGTTATATGAGTATGATTAAGAGAGGAATAACGTCATTTATGACGTCAACTGTCTTGAGGGGGGAAGAAAGAAAGAAAGGCTGTATAAGCTGAAAAAGATTAAGAAAGACATAAAATTGAAATTGTTGAAAGGATGTTTTAATTGCGAAATAAGACTTTTAGCGTAAGACAATACACTTGAGAGTCAAAAGATGGACAATGCCTTCTATCAATGAGGAGATTCATAGATGATGATGATGTTAACCTATGTATGTTTCAGGGAACGCACATACCTTTAATGAGAATATCATTATACACACTAGCTGTTGCATGTTTTTATTTCATTTGTTGGACACCATTCTGGCTAGCAACCGTCTTTGCTGTTTATTTAGAAAATTCAGGTACGTACTAGTGAACTTTTAATTTTATTCATTTGCTCTCTCTCTCTCTTTCTTTCTTTACCTCCCTCTATCTCTCCATCTCTCTCTCTCTCTTCCTATTTCTATATATGGATGTATGTGTACAAGCAGTGCAAGTCTTTTATTATTCTCCCATTTTCCAGATAATTCGGAAGGATCGATTCCTCCTGTCTTTGTTTATGTGATGTATTTCATTCATGCCTTACCTTTTACTAATTCAGCTGTTAATTGGATCTTATATGGTAAATCATATTTCTCCTTTACACAAACAACTTTCTGTTACAGGAGCTCTCAATAGTCAACTTCAACAGAAATACCGTTCTGGCAAGAACGGTCCGAAACTGAAAGAACAGCCGTCCAGAACGGCAGCCACTTGTTATACTAATACACAAAATCATAATAATATTAGTCCAAATAGTCTTCACAACAATAATAACAAATCAACTCAGGTTCTTTTCATCATTCACATCTCATTTGCATACTCGTTCTCGTTTCAGCTTAATGGCTCCGCAGCTTATAATCAACTGCAACCCAGTGAAGTTGTCGATGATGGGTCAGATTCTGTCGACATTCGTCTTCTTTCTCAGCACGAACCAACATTCCTTTAAGTTTTATTCCCCTCAGGTATTCTGCCTAGAATAATGATGACGTCAAACCTTTCCTCTTTTAACCTTCCCCCTCCTTCCTTCTTTACTTCCTTCCACGTTCACGTGAAAGTAACGTGGCTGTGCCATAGATTGTGTCATGCGAACTTACAGAACGGTTGCTTCTCTTTCTCTCTCTCTTACTTACTCTCTCTATCTCTCTTCTTATTTTATATAACTTTCGCAACATGTATGTTGCATTGGAATCTTTAACCCATGTGTTCCTGGACGAACAGTAGATTCACTTACATGCAGTATGGTTTTGTCGTCACTTAGCCATTTAATTCCTGTTGCTTATTGCTTGTTCACACGAGAAATCATCTTCTTCTCTTCATAATTCATTTATCACCTTATGTCTATGTCTATCTGTAAGTGTATGTATGTGTGTGTCTGTCCATGTCTATCTGTGTGTGTGTGTGTGTGGTGTTGTGTTCATTTTCCAATTTTTGTTTTAGCTATTGATATTCGGTAGTTTAGGCAAGAAAACTCGCGGGCTAATTGAATTATCCATCGATTGTATAAGGGCATAATAATATGAGATTATATGTGAAACATTGATTTATGTAAATTTTTAAAAATAAAAGATTCTTTTTTTTCATATGTTCTATACTGATTGATTGTCTCTCACTCCTAATATGGTGAGATGCGGTATTCGACCTCGGCAAATCCGTACCCTTTAAGTCCATTGGCATTAAACAATGCCATATTTTCATTAACCTTATATAGTATTTGTTATTTAATTATTTAAATGATGAACGTACTTGACAGGCTAGATCCAATCCCATTTTAAATGAAGCCGTATCGATGATTTCAACCTATAACAACAATAGTTCTTCAAATGAAAGATGTATGTGTGAGCATTTACTTCAACGTCATAGTGCAAATGAGCTGCGTCGAAGGAATAATGAAATTTGCTTGGGAAATTCTTGTCCTCACCATGGTGAGGAAGTTGAAAATGAACCCTGTCCACAGCATATTTCTTTTTATCTCTGAATCAATGAACGTTTCAAGTATATTCAAAGTAAGGGGGTGATGTAGTACGCTGTAATGATATATCCAAATTCCAGATGAGTAAAGACAGTCTCAGGCATTGATATGACGGATGTATGAATGCATGTGCCATCTTCCAAATGATAGATCATCATTATGTATCTTAACAAGTAGACGAGAAAGATGAAACAAACACAATCATTGAGCTATAACAACCTTCTGATATCTGACCAACGACGGAATTTGGCTACGGTGTGATCACGCATACTCGTCAGTCGAATCGGACCATATGATGTGCCGTCAACAATGTAAGTTCCGTTCAAGAATCCAAACTTCAATTATTCTCTTAATTTCTTTAATTTCGCACGTCCACCCTCACTTGTTCGTAATGGGTTTGATGGCTTTTCTTAGCTTTATCAAACAGTTCTCTGCTCCATGGCTCTATTGCCATAGAATGAGCAATAGCTGTCGGCGAAATGTCCAAATCGAAATCGAAGTGTTCTCCTGCAACAACATTCTTGTTTGATTTGAATAATAGAGAGCCAAAAATGGAAAAAAAGAAAAAGATATTTATACCATAGTTTGTCCATTCAAGATTAATTTTAGCTGGGACTAGCTTAGCATTCGGGTCAGGTTGTTCTTCTCCAACTTGTGTGAATAATTGAGAGCCGGGGGAAGGAGTTATAAATCCTGAAGACCATATGCCGTATGTATAGTTAGGGAGGAATGAGTGAATAGAAACCTTCGAATGAAATAAGCCATTTTTTCATCGGCTCCACACAAGACACTTCCCATCCAGCACCTGCCCATGTATTGCTTTTACCTTCTGACTGAGAATAGACATAGCAAACGAATTTGATTTCATTCGGAAACGCTTACGGGAACATTAGTTGATTTAAGCATTTCTGGAGCTATAAACGTTCCAACATTGGGAATTCGTAAGATCATGAACAGATTCAAAACATTCTCAATACGCTCAGCTGTTCCCAGAGTGAAATACCATCCATCACTGTTAGAGCCATCGAAGAAGACGGCATCAACTGCTTTTTCCTTCAGCAAATAGTGTTATCATTTCTATTGAACCTATCAATTCTAAACCAAGTCTTTTGGTAGTTTTTGCTTCTTTTCCAGATCTTTAATGTCGCGCGATCCTCCACCTCCACCAAATTCGGAATCCATAAGATCTTCCGCTTAAAACAGATTTTTGATGTTTGGAGCTTATCACTTCATTATCTTATCTTATTTGATTTACCACTTCTCCATTTTCTTAAAGATATCACTGTTTTCATGAAAAAGAATTTCAACCAATAACTGAAATGGATGTTATTAAGCTAATTAGCATATCTATGAAGATAGCGTCTCCTGTAGTCAGTTAGTAGTGGAAGCTGTGATCGGTTGCATTGAGTACTTTCGAGACGACGGCAGGGAAAAAGCATAAAGAGAAGGAGAGAGAGATAGAGAGAGAGAGAGAGAGAGAGAGAAGGGAACATGAGATGATAGCTAGATAACAACTTAACTATTTTCCTGGCAAACTGTATATGTTCAACAAGGGCTGAGGATCTCTGGATAGAAGATAGGCAATAGCAGCACCGAATATCCAAGCTATAATAGCCATGGCTTCTGCAATACTGAGTAATTGGGAGAAAGAAGTCTTCAAATGAATGCAAATGATACTTTTATCAGCAAATTTTTGTTGATAACTGATATGTTTATATAATTATATGCATAACTATACACATATAGTTATAGATTGCATACAATCTTAGCACAAAATGATATCAGGAAAAGGTTTTTGGGCTGCTTGGTTGATTCATATTCGGACATCTCAATTGTAATTGGTTGATTGATTTTCATCTTCATTCATTCATTTCTCTCTCTCTCTGTATCTGTTTCTATCTCTCTCTCTCTGTCAGAGCAACGACGACATAAGTCTCAGTTCAAAGAGTTTGTTGCACCTTGAATGTATGCGTACGTGTGTATGTGTGTAAGTGAGTCTGTATGTATGATGACATAGAAAGCTTCTTGAGATCAAACAAGAATTTCTATCAGAAATAGAATATGCACTCTGTTTACTTATCGTTATAACCTCATCTAACATTCATTAGTTAAGATTCTCTTTTCATTTTCCGTTGAAATCACATTTCTGTAGCTACATTTCGTCTACAATATACTCTCTATCAGTGGCTATTTAATCAACTTTTATCATTTTGCCTTCTATTCTCGTTCAAGCATCTTATCCTTAGATGGTATATATGCTTCTCGCTCTCTTTCTCTTTATACACATACACAGCTATTCTTGCTTACGATTGACAACATCCGCTATTGAGGAAACAATCATTTTCCTTTCATACGGATCATTAGTCTTTTTTCTCCTTTTATAGACATCTTTCTTTCAGTTCTTCCATCATTTGGATACGAAAATGGATCCCGAAGAATTCCGTAAGCATGGTAAGGAGATGATCGACTATGTTGCTGATTATTGGTCTACCATACGTGATCGAAAACCTCTACCTGATATCAAGCCTGGTTATTTATCTCAGCTGGTTTGTTTCTACTTCTATTATATTCTGATTTGTTCCTCTTACCATTTGTCTTTCAGGTTCCGAGTCATCCACCATCTGCACCTGAAGATTGGTCAGCTATTTTCGCTGATTTGGAGAGTGTTGTTCTCCAAGGTATGATATTGCCTTATAACTACTGAGGGAAAGCAAGAGAGAGAGCGAGAGAGAGTGAGAGATGAGGGATGAGGGATGAAGTACACAGCGGAATACGACCGATTTTCGTGAGAAATCATATCAAAATGAAAAAGAAGCATTTGAGAAATATCTCGGAGTACGTGACTTCACGTGAGCTGTCCGACAGCACATGGGGGTTGTTTCCAGATATTAGCATGGTAAACTATTTCTTACTTAGTTAATTGCAGGTGTTACCAACTGGCATCATCCCAACTTTCATGCATACTTCCCAACTGCCCTCAGTTATCAAGCCATTATGGGAGATATTCTGAGCGGTGGTATTTCCGCCATTGGTTTCACATGGGTTCGGCTCTCACCCTTATATCGTTAATGATTGTTCGTTTAGAAATCATGCCCATCTATGACCGAGTTAGAAATGACTACTTTGGATTGGCTGGTTGAGAGTTTAGGATTGCCTGAGCATTTCAAAGTAATATCGAGTGTAGCATAGTGAAAGTGATCGTTGAGTTTTAAGAATTCTGCCGAAGGACCAGGTTGCGGAATTATCCAAAGCACCGCAAGTGACGCCACACATATTGCGATAATGACTGCTCGAGCAAAAGCTGTGGAGGTGGGAGATTGTTGTCTTATATTTGTGAGTATGTTTTCCACTTAGAATGTGAAAACTAGTGAAGCTAGTGGGCTCCTCGGTCGCTTAGCTGCTTCTGATGTTGGAAAAACTGTCAAGAATCTCTTGGCTAGAGTTCGTCAAAACACTGTGAGTGATAATCAATGAAAGAGGTCATCCTGATGGATATCTTAGATTGAAGAAAAGGACAGTGACTTGATCCTACCACACTTCCACGATCCAACTGTCTTTGAGAAGCTTGTTGCTTACTGTTCTGATCAGGTATTTGGCTGGCAGAGATTTTCCAATATATTCAAATATCAGGCTCATTCATCTGTCGAGAAGGGAGTCATGTTGTGTGGTGTACGATTGAGAAAATTGAAAAGCACCCGCGATGAGAAGGGAAATTTCACAGTCACCGTAGAGGACTTTGAGAAAGCCATAAAGGTTAGTAGAATCAGAGAACTCCTCATCAACAACATTCATTTCAGGAAGATGTTTCTAAAGGTCTTATTCCTTTTATAATGATAGCCACTATGGGAACTACTAACTCCTGTTCCTTTGACCATTTGGAACAGTTAGGTCCAATTTGCAAAAGAGAACACATTTGGCTTCACTGTGATGCTGCCTATGCTGGTGAGTCTCTTTCTCATAGCTTTCATTGTTAACATTTTCAGGTTCATTCCTCCTATGCCCGGAGTTCCGCTACATGTCGACTGGAATCGAATATTGCGACTCATTCAATTTTAATGCCCACAAGGGAATGCTTATCAACTTCGACTGCTCACCTATGTGGTTTGCCGATGGCACTAATGCAGCTCGCTATTTCACTGTCGATCCTTTGTACTTAAAACATGAGCATCAAGCTGTAGCATCAGATTACAGAGTACGTTTCCTTCATGAATAATCTATAACAGGTTGAATTTAAAGCATTTGCAAATAGCTTTGGGACGCCGCTTCCGTTCTTTGAAGATTTGGTTTGTCCTCCGCAACATAGGAGTTGAAGCTCTTCAAAATCATCTTAAAAAGGTTATCATTAACTCGACTTCCTATTTTGAATGCTTATGAATTCAGCAAAACCAACAGGCAGTACAATTCAGTGATTACATCGAGTCCAGTGACGAATTTGAACTGTTCGCTCCCCAACATTTGGGTTTAGTTTGTTTCCGAATTAAAGATGTTGGTGAAACCATAGTTTCTCGTTTTCATATATTCTCATTTAGAGTACTGATGAAGACAATGAAGCTCTGTGCAATGCCATCAACGAGGATAGACGCATCCATTTAGTTCCATCAAAGGTCTGTTCAGTAGCTTATACGTTCAAGTGAAACCAAAATGCATTTTCAGGTACACGGAAAATTCTTCCTCCGCTTAGCAGTATGTAGTCAGTTGACAACATCGGAAGATATTAGAACCGCTTATGAAGTTATCCGCGAGATACATTTGACTTTGAAAAAGTAATAAACTGTAGTTATGCTGTATTGGAATGTTTGTTGCTTTGCTTCTGTTTTCACGAACACACCTCATGTACTTATTAACCATTTATTAACGATTTTGACTTAAGTATGAAATAAGGAAAGAGATGAAGATCAAAATATTAAATAAGTTGGAGCGGCAAGAACAAGAACTGAGAAACAAATAATGTAAAATACCCGTAAATGGTTAGTAACCGAAGATCACATAATTACATTTTGAGAGAGATTTTTGTTTTTTTGATGTAAGCAACTGAGTACAACATACACTTCGTCTATATTCAGCGTTCTACATCGTCAAATGAGGCCAATTTGAAATCTCCAAAATTGGCTCGGATATCACGGGATAGGGCACACATTTCGTCCATAGCCAATAGCCTGACTGGACGGTTCGAATCATTATGATCACCTTCCTCATCTTCTGATGAGCTCACAATCTCATACTCATTCTCATAACCAACAGAATGTACAGATTTCCAGCTGAAATGATGTAAGATTCAATAAACATCTATCTCTCCTAAGAATCTAACCGTTTGTTTCGTAGATCTATACTGCTGGCTTGACTACTACACTGCGATTCAGCATCAGCATCTGTGCCTTCTCTCCTCCACTTTGATACCCGATTACGAGATCTGCAAAGTTAGTTAAATTTATTTTAAACTTTGGATGTTCGCCTACCCAGCTGACCGATGAAGCTGATGTTGAGAAACAGAAGTTACTTGAGAGCCATTATTCGGTGGATTATTGTTACATTCAACATCCGACAAGGCTACATCTGATTCATCATTATCATATTCCGTATGACAAGCTGATGACAGAGCTCGGTTCAAAGATTTGATTGATCCAACAGTTCCAGTGAAGTTTGTGGGGAAAGGTCGATATCTGAAACAAAAACATATTTGCCGTTATAACAAGAAATCGACATACACTATAGGCTTGATATCAGCATATTCACCGTATGCGTTGAGTTCTTGAAGCATTTTATCCACTCGAGACGAAGCAGCATCCAATCGTTGCTTAGCATCCCACTGAGAAGTCTCACTGACATCCATACTTGAATCTTTACGAAGCCAACTCAATGCACTTCGCATAGATGTCTTGGACGAAGAACGTTTCCACTTGCGATGATCTGTAATGAATTCATTATGTGCTGAAGGAAAAGAAAAGTGGATACTTCGATAGTTGCTTGTTCGACTGCCTGCGCGACTGTTCTCCTGTTCTGACCAGTCGGAATACTGAACTGCTTGCTCTGCTTTGTAGGGCTGTGAGTAGTAAGGCTCTGGTGGACGAGCTGGCTTGACGGGAACACGATAAGGATCGTAATCAGTTTCCCAATAATAACGTCGTCGGAAGGAAGCAGTCGATCCACGACGCTCTTCTTGGCATTCCATTTGCACAGAAGATGATTCGGCATCTCTTGATATATCACGCGATTGGGGTTGAGCAGATTTTTGCTTTTGCTGGTAATGAATTCTCTTTTTCTCTTGCATCAAAGCTGTTTCAGGTGTTATCCACTCGAGATCGCTGTCAGTTTCGACATCACCATCAATGGACTGAAGCTCCGAAGAGAAAGATGAAGCCATAGAAGAAGGTAACTGAAAAAGAAAATAATATCAAAAGTTATTCCATTGAAGAACATACTTCGTCACTCTTAATAGCAGCTTCAAACATATTCTTTGTGTGACGCTCTTGTTCTTCTTTGGGCATCATAAGAGAAGACGTCATAGCAACAGTTTCTTCATCTGCAGCTTCTCGTCCACGACAGTACAAGATGTAAGCATTGAGATTAGCATCAATCTTAATAAATCAATTATTAATTGTAATATTATAGTACAAATACCTTTGTTGGTTGAGGACTGAATTCCAATTCTCTTGGACGTAGCGCCAAATAAATTTCTTCGGAAACAAGCATACGATTATGGCTAGCAGATTGCATTAATCTTCGAGCTCTTTCTACAGTATCACCCCACAGTTCATAACGAGGATATTCCGTATCGGAGACGATGGTTAGTGTGCTTCCACAGTCAATACCTGAAGGAGTGAAATGAGATTGCATAACAGGTATGTTTCTTGACTTTCTCTCTCACAACACTCTCTCTCCCTCTTGTTTACCCCTCTCACATCTGAATGCTTACCTATCTGAACATGAAACTCGTGATCGGATGCAAATTGAGTTATACTCAATAAGTATTGAGCTAATGTATTCAGCAGTTCGCCAATCGTCCATGGCGTTTCATTGACCTGCAAATCATTTTTATTCAAAACAATACATCTTCTTTTCGTTTTATTTACGTTTTGTGAAACATCTGGTAGCATTCCAACGGCAACTGTGTAAAAGCGATTTGCATTTTTTATTTTTTCAATTCCGCGATATTTAGCCAACGTCTTAATAGTTAGAATGACAATGAGATGATGAATGAGTTAGAGAGGCTACCTGATCGAAATGCGAAAAAACGAAATTCAAAGCGTTCAAGCCATCTTCTCCTTCTAAATCAAAACCAGATACAGCCATGTATGCAACTCCCACTATAAAAAGTCATTTAATGCTAATTAGATAATAAATATATGAAAACCTGAATGATGAGCATGATGCCATAGTTCATTTCCTTTCATGGTAATCCATGGTGCTACATGTGGTGGAACTAGATTCAACAGGATTTGACTGTTAAGTAGTGCCAGTTGATCTTTCGTTGTTGTTTCTTCCACACCCTTCAATCATAACAATTAATTAGCATACGTGTATGTGTTAATCTAATTTCAACCGCTTCTCACGAAATTCAAATTCAAAATGAAAAGAGCGTCTTATGCGTGAGTACGTGGAAAATACGTGGATGTTCACGTGAAAATGTAATTGAGCATTCAAATGACTTTCAAACTGTTATTGAATAAGCGTCCTCTTTCTGATTACCTTTATTACAGCCAGGAAATCTAATCGCATCATCAACTCGCAGAATCGAGCTCTAAGGAATACCACAAGGATAACAAAGAGCAATGATGATAGAATATCAAATTCGACGATGAAGCTGAAATGAAAAACATATAGTTATGAGTTGACCCCCTCTCCTCTCTCAGAACATCCGTAAGTGTTTTAATGTTTTTGAAAGAACCATAAAGCAATTGGTCAGTTAACAGGCGAGGGTAGTATGTGCAACACATATATCTCGTTGGCTCATAAATTAAAATCCTTTCTCATCTCTTGTTCGAACAAAAATTTTGTGTTTTAAGATTCAATCGTTTGCACTTTGTTTACAACATGGTTTTTGAAGAAGATCTATGTGTAAGACGAATGATAGAAGATGAAGTGAAGAGGAAGAAGCGCTAGCTGTTCAACTAGCCAGCGGGGCACATTAATTATTTGAAAATGAGGCAAAAAAAAATTTCGAAACATTTGAAGTGAGTTGATTGTAATGATATAGTGTGGTTGTAAAAATGATTGTGTTCTTCTAGTTAACAAAAAGCTTACGTCTGTGGTCCAATTGGTGGATGATTGAAGCCTATCTGACCGCTGTAGACCAATATAGATGCGAATAGTAGTAGGAGAAGATATAATGATGAAAAACGTAAGAATACTGTTGCAGTTAGAATCCATAAGACGAATGAGAAGGCTGAGAAATGAATTGAACGACATACACTCGATGTGTTACTCGTTTGCTCTTCCAACACACTGAATTGTGGACAGGAAAACTGAAATACAAGTATGTTGTTAGTTATCTATTCAAATGTGAGCTAGTGACATACTGTATTAACTATTCCACATAGTAAGAGGATGAGTAGGATGATGATGACAGTGATGGTATGACCTGATGGTGTTCGTGTAATGAATTGAGTGAAATTCTATAATGATCAATTCATTAACCATAAGTATATAGTTAATGGACTCACGTGAAAGAAGTTGATGTATAGCATTAGGAGAATGGAAAACATAATGGTTAAGGCGATGATTATAATCAACAGACTTATAAGTAATCTAAATATGGTAATGGCTTAAGCATGAGGATGAGTCAAGTAGTACCTTGGCATAACCAGCATATGATAGATTCCATATATGACTAAGAAGAATATTGATATAGTTATAGCTGGAATGAACCAATGATCCATCTCCTTATGATACTGTAATTCATAGTTGTTAACTATATGTATATGGTTATGGATTATACTTCTTCTTCCATCTTATCATTTCTGAAGCTCAAATCGATGACGTTCATGAAGCTTGAATTCGAATGGCCATTCGTGTTATCAATGTTAGCCAATTGATCATCACTCGATGGCTGTTGTCTAGAAAAAATTTTAAAATTTTAAAAATTTTTGATGAAGTAGAGCTAAAAACCTTTTCTTAGTTGTCACTTTCATGGTTGATGACATGGTTTGAAGAAGACGATTGATTGCCTGAGGCACTGTGACCAATGAAAATCTGAAAATTTGAGAAAAAATAATAATTTTTTCTCTCTCTTTCCCCGCAGCTTCTCATACCTTCGATTGATAGGAAAGACTTCAGTTCCATTTTGGTTTGAAACGATCTTCCAGTATTCACCGATTCGTTCAAATTCAAAGTTGTTTCCGAGCAGTTGATGTGTCTCATCCGTCACAAACACTCCACTTAACGATCAATCAATTAGCATATTTCGTGAGATTAGATGAAAAGCTTACGATGTTGGAGCATTGCTTTGAAGTAGAATGCAATTATCGATTGTCTGTCCGATTATATCATAATGCCATTTGGAATTTCCAACAATTCCAGCAGTTAATGTACCGCTATCAATTCCAATTGATAGTGACACATCAGCTGTTGTCGATTCACGAAATGATCTGAAGACATGTAAATGATGTTATTGTCTATCTCTTCATATATGGTATGTACCGTATCAAAGCTTCTAGATCTAATGCGAATTGGCATACTTTAATCGGATGATCACATAGCTTGTTTGGAATTGAGGATACAACTGTAATTCCTTCAGAAATAATTCGTGTACACCCGTATAGTTCAGCTAGACGATTGATACGTGTATCGAACTCCTTTAAACATGTTGTTGTTAACTATATATCCTATAGGTATATCTATCTACCTTAAGTACACGAGCCGCATCTGATGATGAGCATTGTGATAGAACAGCTTCAAAACCAATTAATCGAGCATAAGCTACAGTTACCTATAACATCACATGTTTACATATAATTATGTAATTAAATACCTGTGAATAGTATTCTGTGTAAATATGTGGACTGTATAAGGTAATTTGATGTCTAGCTCGACTAATAAGATGTGAAGGAAGAAACGTTTGTAGTAGCCTTGTCTAGAATACATATAATTAGTATAATCTATATATGTTATTCTTTTTAACTATATTAATAGATTATGCATTTATGAGAAGAGGAGAATCATCTTCTGATTCCTTAGAGAATACCAAAAGTCGGAAATGTCAAAAGATTTTTATGAAAGAATATTCCTTTTTGGGTGAGAAGGAAGATGGGACAATGTCATATGTGTGCGATGGTTAAAGATATCAAAAGGATATGCTGTCACATATATTTATGACATAATTAGCATACATTAACAACTTACTAAACGATCCGATTGGTTAGCTGCTAATGTTTCAGCTTCCATTGAATTGCGTGAGCTTAGAAATGATGAACGTGATAAGCGATCAATTTGTAAATTTAAATAAATTGATATAAAATGGCACCATAAGTGTACGAGGATAATGGACAGTAACTATAATAGCATAAAGTTAGACGCATAGAATGGTTGTCAACATCATCCACATCCATACATCCATACATATACACTCACATATCAACATCTGCATATGGAGGAGATGTGAGATATGCGGTATGTATAGGAAGAGGAGAAGGAGATGAAGCTTGCTTACTACTACTACTACTTACCTCATTGGTACTTAGAGTATCATGAAATAGTACTAAAGCACTTATTTGTATAATAGATACAAATACATTTATAGTTAACGATATAAAGAATCGATAAGTAAAGAATGTATAAATAATGAATATATTAGTTAAAGCTGGAAATACAGATGAATAGCTGGGTAGAAATAATAAAAAGCTTAATAATAATAATATTGTTGTTGCTATTTGTGATAATAATATTCTTTCTATAATTAATTATATCATATAGTTAGTATAAGATATGATATTTGACTTACCTTTACGTAATAATAAGATTATATGAACAGCCATAGCTATTATAGCTAAGAGAGCTTGTTTAGCAGCTATAGCATATGGAGCATTAACTAAGGCTTTAACTAGATGTGCTATACTAAATATAATAAGTAAATGACTTATTAATCGTCGTGTCGCCTGCAGACGCCAACGACTGTATGATGATTCAAGCCATGATGAGCCGAAGCCCATGATGTTTGTGGTGTTACGGAGGGCTCGATGATCGTCTCTCCTTCAAATAAATAGATTAAAGCTTCTCAACTATATGTGTGATAATTATGAATATATTAATGAGATAAAATAGAAAAGAGAGAGAGATAATGAGAGAGAGAGAAGGATGCGAGGGAGGGCCAAGGGATATGCAACAAAATAATTTCATTTTTCTCTTCATTTGGCATAGTTAAGCTTGTTGTTGTTGTTGTTGTTAATGATGATACGATATGTTGTCGTTCACATAATCATCATCAACATCAGATGGTTCTAGTGCTATCTATTTGAGATAAAGGAATGAAGCTCAGATGGAATCATCATCATCAACACCATCCTCATCATCATCATCATCTTCTCTGTTTAGCGGTGGTGCAACAGGCAGATAACAGAGGACATATGTGAAATCTGACTTTTATAGTTTAATGTAGTGAAATGCACAATCAATATCTATCTATCCTATCTCTCAACATAACACTTCTATACTATATATATATATAGTATATATAATATATATATATATATGTATAAGTATAGGCGATTGTTTATCTGAGCTTAAAAAGGAGAAAACTTTTTGAGAGATGATGACCCCAGCTGGCCCTCTATAAGACACAAAAAAAGGCTTCAGCATTACAAAAGAAGGATTGTAGCTGTCTTAATCGATAATTGTGTGTTTTAAGAAGCAGAGAGAGAGATAGATAGACTCGTAAGTAGATGAAGAAGGGGGGAAAGAAGGCGAAGAACAAAAAAAAATTAAAAAACAAACACGAAAAAGGAGGGAATGAAGGGTGGAGAGGGAGAGAGGAAGAACGAATGGAGGTTTGAAGTCCTAGTGAAAGCTGAAGACTGAATGATGATGACATGAACGGGAAACAAGTGTGAAGGAATAAAGTGAGAAAGAGAAGACGAAAAAAGTCTGCAAATGAGCTTTATGATGATGTGAAAGGGATGAAAGTGAAAAAAGAAAATGGCAATGAGAACACACACACACACCACCAGCTTATGGATGGATAGACGGAGCCAAGTAGAAGATGGTTGACGATGGAGGAGGAGAAGCACAAGAAGACGTGAGGAGTGGTGGAAGAGGGGGGAGAGAGGGAAGATGAGGAAAAAAGAAGGAAAAAATGAAATTTCTTCGTCCAACAATCATTATTAGAAGATTGGCTCATTTGCGGACAGCCTATTGCCTAATACAATTCATGTATTGCGAGATGGTTTTCGAGATGAAATAGGAAGAGAGGGGGAGAAAGGAGACAAAATTGTTGTTTTGTTTCTGTTGATTTGAATGTCGGTTTATAGGGGTGGGGGGGGGATGAGCAAATTGAATTGACATGGAAAAACGAGAATAAGAGTTACATAGAGAAGCTGCAGATGATGATACATCAACACTTGGTGGATATGAGCAGGTGATGGGTGATTGAGGAAAATCTCTTAGAAGAGAAGCTTCTTACTCCCTCCATCTCTCTCATTTCTGTATCTCATCGTTTCACATGATCTCTAACTCATTTCTCAATTGACGAATTCAAAAAAAAAGGTGGGAAGAATAAGCTGAAACTTTATATTTTGTTCATAAAAATATCATAAAACATGATATTAATGGTCAATGTTCTTCTTTCGAAATCAAAGAGAGTGAAGTGGAGAGTATGAGATGTGAGAAGAAAGAGGAGGAGAAGTAGGAGGAGGAGTGAGGGAGGGAAGAAGGAACATAGAGAGAGAGAGAGAGGATAATGAAGAAGAAGAAGTAGAAGTAGACGAAGAAGATGATGATGATGTGGATGAAAGTTGAAACTGAATGAAGTGACAGCATAGGTAAAGCTTAAATGAGTTAATGAAACTGAAGAAGTGAAAAGGAAAGTCGTTCACAATCACTTTCCCATGTGGAGTGCGAAAGAAAGTATCGAAAAGGAAAAGTTTTGTTGTCGAAAAAGTGGATTGATTGATATTTTGAGTGGAAGAATCTACGTGATGGTATTTGAATGGATTAGAAGAGAGGAAAGGAAGTAGAAAGGGAGTTGTAAAGGAAATTGGAGGGAATGAGTAGAGAGAGAGGGATGGAGGGAGGGAGGTGGATGTATGAAGGTAATGTGATTGGAAGGAAGTAAGGGGAAATATAAAAAAGATATTGTTTTCTTTTTGAATTAAAATGAGTGACAAGAAGAGGGTTATAGAGAGAGAGAGAGAGAGGGAGTGATAGAGGTTGAGAGAGAAAGAGAGATGAAGAAGGTGAAGATGTAAGAGAAGAGGGAGAGAGAGAGAAGAAAATGAAAAAAAAATGAGAATTTTGAATGAAAAATATGTGTGAACGAGTGAATCAAATGACCTGAAGTGCAGTTGAAGACAGGTGTGTAAACCGATAGTTTGAATAAGAAAGAGAATAGAAGAGGAAAAGCTTAAAAATTAAATGTTAACAAAAATATAATTTTTAATTTGTTAGGATGAGATGATGTTATTGGTCAGTTGAAGACAAGGAATGTTTGATGAAGACGTCAAAGATGATCAGAAGAAGATGCAGATGATGATGAAGAAGAAGAAGAAGACGGAGAAGAAGAAGAAGAAGACGGAGATGAAGGAGAATGGAAGAAACGAGCTGAAAACTACGAAACGACGATAACAGGTAATGTCCGAACATCGACAACAAAACTTTTGAATGCAGAAGATGGAGAGAAATTGGTTGATTTCCTTAAGAGATATTGAATATAAATGATTTGATTGGATAGAATTAGAAGTGTGAAGAGAGATAGAGAGAGATGATGATGTAGATGAAGAGAATGAGAGAAAGAGAATGAGAGAGAGAGAACGTCAAAGAAGTATGAAGAGAAGAAGGAAAGATGAAAGTTAAAAGAAACTGGAGAGTAAGAAGAAGATTGTTATGTTCAAAGGGAGAAGAGAGGGGGAGGGTGGGTTCAGAGTATAACAGAGAGAGAGAGAGAGATAGAGAGAGAGAGAGAGAGAGCTATGGGTGGGGGATATTGTATGGAAGATATCTGTCAACGGTAATATAGAGAAGTTTCTAAATAATCGATTGAATTCGAATATGAAACATTGGAGCTGCGAACGTACATATGTACGGAGAGGGAATTCCCTCTCTCTCTCGCTCTCTCTTAGTCTTACCCCTCTCTCCCTCTATCTTATTCTTTTATAAAAAGAGGAGAAGAGACTGTGTAAGTGAATGCGAGTGACCCCTTCGGGAAATAACGAACAGAAGAGATTGTATGTAGTGATAGAAAGAGAAAGATAGAAAAAGATAATATTAAAGTTGGAGAGAAGAGTTTCAGAGACTGACTGACCTTCTCTCTGATTCTCCGCATTCAAAAGCGAATTTTTCATTTTGATTCTTCTTCAATATCTCTCTCCATATGTTATTGTATTTCCTTTGTACAAGGGAAGAGAGAGAAGGGTGAGGAGAGAGAGAGAGGGAGTCGGGTTGACTCCAAAGAGGATTTGAAGTTTTAAAAGAATTGAGAGCAAATGAATGAGAAATTGAAATGAAAAGAAAAGAGCAGAAAAGTGTTGAAAAATTAAAAAGAGAAGAAGAAGAAGAGTGTATGTGTGTGTATGAGAGAGTGAGGTATAAAGAGAGAGGAACAGAGAGAGAGAGAGAGAAAAACAAAAAATGAATGAAAAAGATGTTGCGTGATGAAGAGAGTAAGAGGGAGGAGGAAGATTTCAGTTGATTTGCGATCTATTCGGTCATCCATCGGGGTTGTATTGGAACGGACAGACGGACAATGATTGTTGTAACAGAGATGGACACACGAGACTATAAGATGAAGCCGAAGAGAGGCTGAAACACAATGTAAGATAGAGGAATGAAGTTGTATATAGAGAGATAAAGAGAGAGTAAGAGTAGGATAGAGAGAGAGAGATAGAGAGAGAGAGAGAGAGTGGATGGATGTTACTACCGACAGGTTAATTCAAAAGATTTCTGAGAGATAAGCGTAATATTCAAATTTGAAGAGGAAATAAATGATAAAATCTTGTTAATCTCGTTCTTTTAATCAAACAAAGACGTTTATCATCATCAAAAGATAATAAATAATATTTTGAAAATGAAAAAAGGGTTTTTCTCAGTTATGGTAGATATCCCTCCATATAAGGATATCAGAGAGAGAGAGAGAGAAAGATCATATGCTAATCAGATGATGATATCATTTCAGTTTGAATGCAATAAGCTTAGAAGGACAAGACAACCCATATGAAGAGACAGAGATAGAGATAGAGAGAGTGATGGAAGCTGATGTGGAGAACGGTTGCATTCACTTTCTATTTGAAGCTTGAAATGAGATTTCAAATTGAAATGATGTAATTTTAAATTGAAAAAGGTAAATCAGTTTCCGACATTTGAAATTTTCATTCTCAGAATCTATAAAGGTGTATGAATGAGGAGATCGTCACATGAAGTCATTTGGAAGAGAAGTTCGGAAGATGACTACTAGAGAGAGGGGGACACATAGACACTGTCACTTAATGACAAATGCAAGTCAATGGATGACCGACCATCATAAGCGAGTAACGAGTAGTGAACATGGAAGATGATGTGAGTTTTAAAAATGTTTTATTTACATATAATCATAACTAACTATATCATATAAATAGGACTAAGTATGTATGTGTATGTAGTAACCGTAATCAAATCACTCTTTCTTCTTTCGGCAAAGTCTTCTTCCATTAGGTCCAATTGGAGCTTTCTCCTGAAACATGAAAGAGGTTAAGCATGATCTGTTGAGAGGGAGGGTGAATGAGCTTCATCCTGCGTTGAATGATGAGGTAGAGGGATGAAGAGACTAACCTTTGGTGGGAGTCCTAACTGTTCTCTGCATGAAAGATAATATTCATTACATTTCGTTCTAATGGGTGATCCATTTTGCCGTGCCATACTTCCACTATGATCTTCATTTTTCGATCTTGGCTTCACATTAGCATAACATGATTTTCTATATTTGCAATCTAATTTTTCATCTACTTCTAAGCTTAGACTGATTATGTGAGCATCAATATGAGCTACCTGCAATACATAATGATTATGCTATAGGCATAGTTAAAGGTTAAGCTTACTTTCTTTTTCTGCTTATCATTCTTGTCATTGTCATCATCATCATCATCATCGTCATCATCGTTATCATCATCGTTATCCTCCTTCTGTGCATGATGTGATGACTTCTTGCGTTCATCTTCTGACTTCTTTTCAGCTGTTGTTGTCTTCTTGATCTTCTGTTCCGTTACAACCTTCTGTATTGAAGGCTTTGGAACTTTCTCTGAATGATTTGGAAGCTTTTCAGCTTCATCCTCAATACTATCGTCATAACATGATTTGCGATACTTACAATGAAGTTTCTTATCATGTATCTCTTCCAATTTTGGAACAACTATCTGTTGACGAATATTGAGATCAGGAAGTCGTCCTGTATCATAACAGGACTTTCGGTATTTACAATCAAGCTTCTGATCAGATTCTGATTTTGGCTTCTGATTATCATATACTTTATCAACATGCTGATTGAATGATGAATACATGGTTGATATGGATTGATCAATATCTGGACGTTCACCTGTTTCATAACATGATTTACGATATTTGCAGAATTCTTTTTGTTTCTGCTTCTTCTTATACTCATCGTCATCATCATCGTCATCATCATCATTGGCATTGTCCTTAGCTTTAGCTTCAGCTTCTTTCTTCAACTTCTTATCAGCTTTTACTTCTTTCGCCTGCTTCTTGCTGTCTTTCACAGATTTTTTGATCTTTTCTTCTGCAACAGCTTTCTTCGGCAACTCTTTGACTACAGCCACTGGGATTGGCATGGCAGCTTCTTTTTCTTCCTCCTTCTGCACCTGCTTCTTGACGGCCTTCTGCTTCTTCATACTCTTCTTGGGCATCTTATCAACTACTTCAGCTTCATCTTCTTCAACAACAACGACTTTAGGAACTTCTGGCTCATCGTCATCATCTTCTATCTGAGGCTTCTTTTCTTCTTTCACTTCTTGTTTGATCTTTTTTGAAGATTTTTTCGGCTTCTTCACTTCTTCCTCATCTCTGTCGGCATCTTCATGTTGAGCAACAGTCGGTTGGATATGAGCTGATACAGATGGTTGTTCATCAACTTCCTCTGAACTAATCGGCTTGTAATTCTTTTCTCTACGAATTTTCTTTGAATGCTGAGATGCGTCGTCGTCGTCATCATCATCTTCTTCAGACGCTTCAGCAGCATGTCGTAGCTCTTCTTCAAATTCGATGCCACCTTTAGCACGTTTACGTAGTCTATCACGTCGATGACGTCTCTTCTTCTCTTCTCGTTCAATCAATCGTCTCTTACGTATATGCTTAACAACATCAGTTGTTCCAGAATTAGCAATCTCTTCATAACAAGATTTTCTATATTTACATAGATGTTTTAAATCTTGTACACTTGTCGGAACAACAGAGCTTATATGCTTCTGCTCAACAACGTATTCAACAGGTGGATGTATTTCGGGCAGTATACCAGTTGCATAGCATGACTTTCTATACTTGCATTTCTCTTGTATAGTAAGCTTACGTGTTTCCACGATATCCGGCAGATCCTTAAGATCTTTGAAGCTACGAAGTTGTATCTCAGGCTCAATCTCAGGCTTAACACCTGTATCATAGCAACTCTTGCGATACTTGCAATAGACTTTCTGATCTAGTTCATCCATTTCTGCATACGTCTTTGCATCCACTATCACACCTCCACCACGACCACCACGTGCAGCAACATCATCATCATCGTCGGAAGCTTGTGAAGTTGTTGAGAATAGCCAAGTGCTCATAACAATTTCCGGTAATTCTCCACTTTCATAGCAGCTTTTTCTATATTTACAACGAAGTTTCTTGTTCATTTCATCTTCTATCTTGTCCAGTTCTTTTTCAATTTTGACAGCTTTTGGTAGAGGACGTGAGGCAGCTTTCTCTTCAGCTTCTTTTACTTTCTTTACAGCTTTCTCGGCGATGTCTTTCAACGATTTCTTCTTTCCGGCTTTTGGAATTGAATGCTCAATAGAAGCTGCAGCCTTCTTTTCATTATGTTCCTGCTCTTTTAAGCTGAGAGGAATTTTTTTGGCTTTGTAACAGTCTAGCCGGTACTTACATTTCAGCTTCATCGCCGTAATTCTGTTGACATTCTCTGCATCATCGTCATCATCGTCATCATCATCGTTCTCATCATTCTCATCCGTACTGTCTGTGTTCCACGTGAATGATGAAGGCCAAAAGTTAAAGCTTAGATCAATATCTGGGACAGTTCCTGTCTCGTAGCATGACTTTCGATATTTACACTCCAGCTTCTTCTCTTCTTCTTTTTTTGGTGCTTTATGAGGACGGTAGTTTGTTGATTTCTTAGCTTTCTCTTCAACTTCCTTCACTTCCTCTTCCTCTTCATCATGAATTTGAACATGGATTTTGGGAGTCTACAACAGACAACAAGCTTATACATCAAACCGTATAGTATACGTACCTCTTTGGACTTTTTGGATTTTGGTGAAGCTGAAACGAAGATGCATGGCCAGAAGGCTTTCTCTTCGACTTCTGGTTTTGGGAAAGTAGTTTGAGGAATCAGCTGAACATCTTGGGCATCAATAAGATTTCTTAAATTAGAATGAGAGTGATGAGTGTGAAGGAGAGACTTACCTAGCCATAGCTGGTTGGAAATCGTTGCATAAGAAGGCTCTGTTGGGAGATATGATTGGTGTAGATGTTTCTCCCCAACATTTGGATCCTTTCTTAAGCAGAGCTGTCGTTTGAATGGCTTCATCACCTGAATAGATTGAACAGTTGGATGAATCGCATCTCTCACACTCATACCAATTTCAATGACCAGCAATGGATTTTGCTTATCCAAGAAATTATAAAATATTTCTATTTCTGAGAAATTCATTTCGTCTGTACCACGTTGTGAGACGACAATGGTTGTGAAGTTGTTGCCTGTAGGCAATTTCATTTGATGGCATTGCGTATAGACATCGTCAACCATCTCATTCTGCTGTTGGCAGGTGTTTTGAGTAAAAACGTAAAAGCTTGCACGAGAATCTGTAGAAAAACTATTAATTTTAAGTAAATTTGTTGTTCAGTTTGTTTTGATTATATTTCGAATATGTGTGTCAGCTGATGTATGAAGCTTCAATCGTGTTGCAAGCTCTCTAACCCAACACTGAGCCAAGCCGACTGATGCAAGCTTGACTGACTGGCTAGCCTTCACCAGCCACTAACTTTGCCTTTCAACACGTTTTGATTTTACAAATGCATAGATAGATAGATAGATAGAGAGACAAACACAAAAAATGGTTTTTTAGTGTTACGAGGGCATATGGTGAGGTGGGGGGGGGGGAGAATTTGAGTGAATATTTTGAGATATTACACCTTGTGAATCTCCTCATTTCATATTCTCTCTCAGACGATTGTGTGAGAGAGAAGAACACACATGTTGAAGCATGGATATCTATTTCAGCTACGAAATGAAAGTTTCTTAAGTAACTTTATTTTCACGTCAATCTATTGTATATACTAGCTTAGTGTATACATGCCATGGCAGCGTGCCATACAAGAGAGACGATCTGGCATAGATGAGATATAGAGGAAGGTAGAAAGAGAGAGAAAGAGAGGGAGAGAGAGAGGTTTGGATAAATATACGTATACGTACCTCTGACAATCTTGTCGACTTCTGGATAATATCGCTGAGCCAAGGCAAACTTGTAATTGTTGTTTCTATTCTGACCGACAATCAGCAATTTAGAGCTTGCTAAACCATATCGTATAGTTAGTGATGAATGATGATGATCGTTACCTGTGATTGGACAGAACAGCACAGCCAATATTATAAATTTACATAATAAACTAAACATGGTGATAGATTTATAAGTAATATAACTAATAATCGTTAGGTAATTCGGTTTCGTTACAAAATTTCGATGAAGGCAACAGCCACTAGCAGCGTGACATGCCTCACACTGGCCTCTTGGGCTGGAAGCTTCTTGGCTTTTGCTGGCAAATCTCTCTGCGAAATACTCGCCACAGCTGTCTTCTCGACTGCTGACGATTGCTGAATGGGCTAGAAGCCTAGAAAAAAACATGCTTTGGATAAGAATTAAGCTGAATATGTGGTAGAGTGACTAGGCTTGTGACCATGCCGCACTTCTCATCATAACTAACTATAACATATAATTAGAATAGCTAATATGTATATGTAAGTATGTTTATATGATGATGATGTATGATGCTGATAGTAAGCTTGAATGAATGATCGGAAATGCTGTGCAAGTTGAGCTTGACTAACAGAAGGCCAGATCGGTGATGCTGATGATGATGATGGTGAGATTAAATCAATCGAAGATTTGTATGTTTGTATTTCTCGTGAAATTACTCAAATTCCAGACGCTCAATCCATATCTCCCCTCCTGTCATTTGTTTTTTCATATCGCAATCTGATCTTTCACATTCAAATAGAGCACATAGAACGTTCATCTGTCGTAGTATGGTATGGTAGTCCTGTATGTGTTTTGTGTGTATGCGTATGTGATAGACAACTCATTTCAAATCGTCGTTCTCATTGTTTTGTCTTCATCATCATCATCCTTGTTTTCAGCTTCAATCTCTCTTTCTATCAGTATTGATAAGTGTAGAGCAAACAGCTCTGTCCATGACACATGACATCATTGAATTCATTTGCCTTTTTATATGTAAATATCTTTTTTTTTTATTTTCATTACAATAACATGCGTCATCTTCAACGCATCTTATCCAATCAGCTTCATGCACTCGCCTATCCCCCCCCCCCCCCCCCCCCCCCCCCCCCCCCCCCCCTCCCTCCCTTCATCTCTCTTCTCCTCTACTCTTCGCATTGATCTCATGTGCAACAATCAGATGTCATTCCATTCGTTTTCTATCATCTCTCTCATGATTTTTCTCATGGAATGTGTTTGGGACTTCCCCGTTCTCATGTTCGCACTCATTCACTGGCAGTTCAATCATTCCAACATCCTCCGCATTTCTTGTGTTTACAGTTTGTTTGTTTCCATGTTTGGATCAATAAAAAGAGATTTTCAGTTTGATGAGTCTCAGTTTGAGCTTTCAGCCAACTCTCTCTCGTCCCCCCTCTCTCTTTCTCTCTCTCTTTCTCTTTCTCTTTGTGCAGAGTATCAACAAAGTTATTGCGAGTTTCTTGCGCTGTCTGGACAGCTCTGTTGTGTCGGAAAGATGAAAGTTTTGCTTTTTTATCCATTTCTCTTCATTCGATTCTGAACATTCTCTGAGTTCCCCTCTATTGCAACACATATGTACGAAGTGTAGTACGATCGTGCAGACTACAGAGTTTGATGGTGACAGCCCGACCCACAGGACTCACTTGTTTTTCCTTTTTTGTAACTTACAGGTCTATCGATTGTTTTCTTCTGTATTCATTAGTTTTTATTTTCTTTTATCCTTCTTTTTCGTTTTCAACCTTCTGAGATGTGATCGGCTATAGTCTTTCCATGTTTGAAACTTCATTTTTGGTATTACGATGGATACTACGATGGCAGGAGATACTCCTTACCACATTAGCCGGTTTACCATCTTTGAAAGAATCACAAGGTTCTCTGGATTCAGTTCATATCTAACGTTTCACTGTTTCCATCATTCCATCAGCGACTTGATGACAGGCGGATGAAAATGAGTCTAAATTCGTGTGTTGTGTGAACGAGGTTTAACTCCTCATGTAGAGTAGTCCCTCTGATATCTGCTGAAGGCAGGTCTTGGAGGGAAAACCTGTTTTCTTATTTTTCTTGATCGCTCCCAACCTATATCTAGGGATTGTAAATACTAGGGATATGGGGCCTAGTCCAAATAAAATTTTAAAATTTAAGTTTTGAAAATATCCCGGATCTGAAAAGCATTTCAATAAAAATCTTCCATTTCATTTTAATGGTCGTTCTTTGAAGTTGTAGTCCGGTGTCCAACTCTGATCGTTCGTAGTAGCCACGCCCATCTCGAAAATTCCTCCTACTGCTCATTCAATCAACCAACAAGGCTATTGATTGTTTTCTCATTAACCATCTCATATAAATAATATATTTGTCGGTCTTTCTTCTTCTCATTGATTTCCATAGTTATCACCCGATGGCTTTTCCTTTCCCACTTCTCCTCATGTAAGCGCTGTTACAGACGGTTCTGTTCATTTCGAGTTAATCTGTTAATGCAGCATGATTTCTTCCTCCTGTCGTC